TTAGTGCAGGAAAGAGTGCCGTTCGTGGTCCAACCGGGGGCGTATAGAGTTTACAGAGGAAAAACAAACTATTCAAGAAAACTAGCTGGAGGCACTCTTGCTTTAGCAGTGTGACAGGGCCTGATGCTGTCGAGGAGATACTTGGAGATGGCCATGAGTTTCTCATCTCACCTCATCAAGCTGCCTCATGGACACTTTCCCAAAGTCTGCCATCACTATATGCCCATGCCTCCCATGCCTCCAATGCCACTCATCATCAGCAATGCCAACGTTGCAACCTGAACTAATGATTCTGCTTCTGATTTGCTTATGTTCCACACGTGCGCCAGTGCTTGCCGGAGATAGTGCACTATTTGCTCGGCTACCCTGAGGCGCACTGCAGTCATACTTTTCGTGCCTTTGGTGCCGCTGAAGTGCGTTGCCTTGAGGCTTCCTGCTGTGTAGCATGTGTGACACTGCTTGCAATGGCACGCGTGGGGGTGCTTCGTCTCACCACAACGAAGGATTTCTTTGTGTAACGATTTGGGAAGAGGCCTGGCCATACAATGAGTCCACATTGCATGGCGGCATCAATGTTCTTGATCTCACTCGTCACTTTAAATTTGTTCTTCCTTCATCAGTCATGCCAATGTGCAATTGCGAGCCCACATGATCTCATGATGATGGCGCCCAGCCCATGTGGCGTCAGACTCAATGAGTAGCAAATTCCTCATCATGGCCTGCCTCATCGCCCCACCTCATCAAAACCCAGCCCCTCAAATCAACCAGCCTCAGAACCAAATGCCTCAACCTATATATCGTGTTCCTCTTCTCAATGTTGCTGGCCAAGTGTGACCTTGGAGATGTCAGCAGCTGAAGCTTCTCATCAAGCTGCCTCATGAACACTTTCCCATAGTGTGCCATCACCATGCCCTGCCTCCAATACCACTCATCATCAGCAATGCCAACGTTGCAATCTGAGCTAACGATCCTGCTTCTCATTGGCTGATTTGCTTACGCTCGAGCCTGACCTATTGCAACCCCATGTTGTTGGACCATGGCGCCCATGGTTTCCCATCTAACACCTGATGGTGAAATCACACGAACCCGTGCCATGAACAGCAAAAACCCAACTAAATCGCCCATGGATGGCCCATGGACCCCACTTCCCCTCGCAACCAGAAGCTCCTCACGCTCACCTTCCAATGGTGCAGCTGCGTCAAGGATCTCACCAAGGAATTCTTCAGTGGATACCGCCCCAAGCTCCTCGTTTGGAAGCTGCCACCCTGCTCAGTATCGCACTGCCCTTGCGTCAGGTCCAAGGGTGGGCCCAGCAAGGGTGAGCTTTAGAGCAGGAAGGAGGGGTTGTTGAGGGCAGGAAAGAGAGCAGATTGCAGCGGGCAAGCGTTGGAGGCGGAAGGTTTTTGAGTTGCTCCCCTCACTTCCTTCGAGGGTGCCCTTTTTCACTTCGAAAACGACCCCCAACCACCCCCCCGAACCTGTGCACTATACTTTCTGTTTCTACCTCCTATGAGAGTGGCTGCAATGTCAACTTCACCACTTCCAGCTACTCTTTCTCCACTCTACCCTCCAACATGCCCCTCACCTCAGACGAAAAAAGGCGCCATCAAGGCAGCGCACCGGCAGGCAGACCCAACATAGTGTACCTTTTGTGGGCCACCTGAAGGCAGACTTTTCCGGAGGAAGGAACCGTTCCCCGGGTAAAAACGGAAAAGCGCATCTATTTTACCGTTTTTTTTCCGCGGGTATGGGGGGCGACCCCCACGGTGAAAACGGTAAACCAATCTTGATTTGTACCGCTTTTACCGGAACAAAAAGGGCAACCCCCCGGTAAAAGCGGTAAAACACAGATATTTTTACAATTCTTTTACCACGGATATGGTAGAAAAAACGGCGACCCCCGGTAGATACGTAAAATCGATATCTTTACATACCTTTACCGTTTTTACCGCGCGGATGCCTTGCGGGAACCCCGTAGCTCGAGCAACGCCGCTAAACCAGCGCAGCCAGTCTTTTTTAGTGTGCGTCCAAAGGTATCCACAGCTGGTGCGCGCATCTGGATTTTTCCAGGTTTGTCCTCCAACTGTGTGCGAACGCCGGACGCCCTGCCACTTGAATCAGGTTGCAGTTTGCTAGTGGAAGTCCAAATGATTGCGATTTCGCAGGACAGGGGAGGAACCCGCACTCTAGAGGTGTTGTGGCCGTGTGATTTTTGGATTGACTTGAACATACTTGAACTACAGACGTGGGGAGATGAGACTCAGCAGCACATGTATTTGAGGGCTGGAGCTTGTGTTGCATCAATCAGGATTTGAGATTGAAGGGAAGGAGGTTGTTGATGGTGTGGACGGCGACTACCAAGACATGATCGGCTGTGAAGATAGAACCTTGGCCGTTAAGGTTCAGGCATGCGCGGTCACCCAAGAGCTGAAGCAGGTCTGCGTCATTTTGCATCCTGTTTTGCTCCTTGAGGTTTGTTTATTACGTCGCGTGACACCGTGGAGTGCACGGCGACCAATCTCACTGAAGGTGGTGAATGCCTCAGACAGATGTGACAGTGCTTCAATCAGTAGTCGTAGGGGAATAATCCCGAGTACCTGTTAATAAACACGCCCAATTAAAAAACACAACGTCCGAAGCCCTAAATTTGGTTTATATTTGTTTTTTAATTAACGCCCTTTCAAACCGCTACTAAACTACCAACATGGTCGATTTTGGGGGAAATTAGGTTCCCCCAAAACTCCCTCGTGACACGCCGCGTTTACACCAGCAGGTTTTCCTTCCTCCAATGGCACGGACTCAAGCAAACGCACTTGCCACCGAGGTCGTGAAAACCGAATGGCACAGCGACATCACCTTTCGAAAGCTTTGGCTGTTAGTCTAATGATGAATCAGTATTCTAATCACGAAAGCTAGCTGTAGCTAGCTGGAGTCTGTCTTGCTTTAGCAAGGAGGGTGGGAGCCCAGGACTTGAGTGCTATTACCTGATATATCAGGACTACACCCCCCCCCCCTTGCGGGGTTCAACTCCATCCTTCTCCTCCTCGGTACCTGCTGCTGCTGCTTGGTCGCTGCTGCTGCTGCTGCTGGCATCTCATCTGCGCCAGCGCCTGGCTCTTGGCTGCTTGCTGGTTGCTGCTGCTTGCTGCTTGCATGCTTGGTGCTGCTGGATGCTCTTGGCTGCTTGCTGGTTGCTGCTGCTTGCTGCTTGCATGGCTGCCTGCTGCTTGTTGTCTGCTCGTGCGAGTGGTTGTGAGGGCCAACATAGCATCGCTACCCGCCTCTGCACGTTGCAGCTCTTCTTCAAGATGTTGATAGACCAGGACAGTTGGATTGTTCTGCGGGTCATGTAGTGCTTCATCACTCCGTTTTGCTGCTGTTGCTGTTTGGGGTTGTTGGCTGCTGTTGGTGCTGAAGAAAGCCTATTCGTTAGAATCGAGAGTAGTTGCATTCCCTCTGAGTCGTGAAACGATGCTAATTTCATTATATCCTTAAGAAGCTTGTACAGGCATGTACCCACCCCACAACCCAAGAGTACAAATCAGAATGCACTATCCGCTATCCATGCAGATCAAAAGATGATACTTACTTCACACATGAATGACAGAACCCAGTAAGATGTTTGAACGGGCTGTTTGCTTCACTCATGGTAGTCCGCGTTCCATGTTCGAGCGACAGGGAGCATGCACAAGCGTTGCGACGGAGTCTTCGGTCGCTGACACACGTTCGCATACAACCCCTAGATGTCAATCATGCACACCGCTGCTGGCTGCATCGTCAGCATTTATTCGTGAAAAACAGATATGATATATCAGATATATCTGTCTTTCCACGTCGCCCCTCTACAATTACTCAGGCAGCACCTATATGTGCTATTGTTCGAGACCAAATGTCCGGGCGCGAAAGATTCTAAGGAAAGCTCACTCTTTCCCTGCTGCTGCTGCTGCTTGGTAGCTGGTGGTGCTGCTTGGTAGCTGCTGCTGCTGCTGCTGGTGCTGGTGCTGCTGCTGCTTGGTAGCTGGTGGTGCTGCTTGGTAGCCGCTGCTGCTGCTGCTGCTGCTTGGTAGCTGCTGCTGCTGCTGCTTGGTAGCTGCTGCTGCTGCTTGGTAGCTGGTGCTGCTGCTTGCTATAGCTACTCCTGCTGCTGCTTCTGCTGCTGCTTGGTAGCTTCTGCTTGCTGCCGCTGCCGCTGCTGGTTACAGTTATTGTTGTTGTGACAGTTGCTGCTGCTGCTGCGGCGGTTGCTGGGGTGCTTGTGTGTTGCCATGTGTTGGCTGTGTTGGGGTCGTATTGGGGGGGCGCTGTTGGCACTCTCCTTTTCCCTTTGGCATGTTGCGGTTCCCGGCCAGGTTTTTGCTGCCTAAAGAGCCCCAGCGTTGTTTATTTGCCTAGCTTTCGCCACCCCCCTCTGGGCCACAAGTAGAGGTTTTTGTAGCGGAAAAGGAAGACCCTTCGATCTGGAGGTTTTTTGAATTCTGATACGATTTTAATAACGGATTTTATATAAAAATGTTCTGGATTACTTTTTGGTTTTGAAACTCTTCCCAGGTGACCCTATTTTGGACCCCCCGATTTCAGGGACCCCCTATTAGAAAAAATGCGACCGAGCTTCTCTTATTAGGGGGGGGCCGTTTATTGATAGGTGGACCGGATTACCAGCAGACCTTTTGAAGCAGATAGACAGATGTGTTTGTAGGTCACAGCTTGTTGTTTCAAGTGGAGTAGTGGCACGGCTTCACCTGACATGATTTGTACAAGGTACTTACTATTTCCGCGTTCGAGAAGTTTGCACTGATGGGAACATGAATAGTTCGTGGACAGAGTCTGATTCTCGGCACGTAAGACGCTGTCGTGAATATTTCCACGATATATTCCGGATTCCGATTCCAATGGATTTTGATGTCAATCTGGTAAGACGATGTTTTGGCATTGATGCTCAATTCCGTGGGAGCAACTTTTGCAACTTCACTGTTTTTGGTTTCTTCGATCCGCAGGAAGGCATGACACTGCGCTTTGTCGATCCTCCAGCCGCCAGTCTTTGTATAGGGTCGGATTCGACCACCCTCCTGATTCAACATGTCCGCTACATATTTTATTTCCTAGTTGCCCCGTGTCCGCTAGGGCTCGAATTAATTTGCAAGGCTGGAGGCTGAGCATGCAAGCAGAATCATTGCATGTTGCAGTTTTGCCAAGGGTGGGAAACGGGCAACTGGATTTCCATGAATTTGGGAAGAATATAATTGGTATAATTGCTCTTAGGTTGGAGGCTGGTTGGGGGCCATTGCTATTTGGGAAGATTATAGGACACGGACCAGCCCATAAGTGGTGCAAGACAACGAGGTGCTGAGATCTTTTTAACATATTGTAATGGGAAGCCGGGTAATTGCAGCAAATCATCATCATTAGGGGTGCCCTCTGGGTCAAACCCTTCCTCATGCATTTGTTTGATCCATTTGATCTCACCAGGTGCACTCAGCTCGTGCTTTAATAGTTTCAAGCTTTGCCCTCCATGGGTGTTTTGTGCAAGACCTGGTGCGACAAGAACTTTGGATATTTGAGCGCATAGGTTTCGGCAAATGAGCATAAAGGAACACTTCCAGAAAAACACATAACACATACGTAAATCTATATAATATACATATATATATACCTGTTTTTTAAAAAAAACATGGAGCCCATTTGTTTGCCCCACTTCACGCATGATGTAGACGCATGTAAATGTATGCATGGGGACAGGATGGGACATGCATGCTTGCATCTTTTTATGTTTTGGATATGCAAAGCTAGCCCAATAAGCCCCCACCACTTACCTGCTTTGCTAACCGCTTTTCATTCACCCTCTCCTATCTGGACTGCTATCCTTTTGGTATTCTTTTGGCGTTTATTGTGTGGTGAAGCCTGACTCCACACCCAGATCAGAGACAGTAGCTGTGTTGGCAACAGGGCAGCTGTGTTGGCAACAGGGCCCCCACATGGACAGCAATCAAGCAAGGTTTGTTCACCTGAAAAGAAGCAGCTAGCAACACTTCAAAATAAGTCAGAAGTCGCTTGCGGGAAACTCGAGCCAGAAAGGACCACAGACGAAAATGCAGACCACACCACGGTACAAAACCGATCCTATTGACTTGGTAGAGCTTCCTGAGGCTATCCTTCTGAAAATTCCAGAGGAGGACCAGTACGCATCAGTAAGTCAAGTCCTGTTGGCCGTGCAGGCCTGATGACTTTTGGTTTTAATTGGTTCAACATCCCGGCAACATGCCAACCTTTGAAGGTGGACGTGTATACCACGTCTGATACAAGTCTGGCCTTCGTGGTTTATCGAACCAATGTCCGTGTGGGAGGTGAAGAATCTTGGCAGAGTAAATGTGATGAAATGATTCAAACGCATAAGTCTGAAATACAACTCAATAACGGATTGCAATGGAACAAGTCACTGTCAGGAATGGTGCCCCACTACCACGTGGCGGGTGGCTTCTGATGAGCAATTGGCCTAGCCATGTCGGTTTGATTTCACGTGTTGGCCTACACCCACTGCAAATGCGACTGAGCTGGAGCATGCCGGAGCCTAGGATAATCGATGGAAGTCCTTCTGGTACCTCGACAGTTGGTCTCATTCAAGAGCGAATTCTTATTGCCAACTTTCCGGATGTGGACGAGTTCGGTGGTGACTTTATGAAGCCAGGACGGTGCCCAACAAGCAAAACACCCAGGGACCTGCGGAGGCTTTTTAAATGATGTTCAAAATCTTATAACGTTATATATGTGTTCCAATAGACTGCGTGTAGTGTTCCCATTCCTAGCCTGTTGCAATGTTGGCGTCTCGATGAGCCAGGGAGAGAGCTAAGCCGGCAGAGAGGGAGAAAGGGTGAGAAGGAGGTCCGTTCAACCTTGGTAAGTTGAGAGTGATGTCCAAGGTTGAGGAAGTCGCCACCAAGAGAGGATCTAATATAAAATAATCTCGGCAAGAGACCCCAAACAGTGTCGTGCAGAAGATCACAATGATGAGTGAGAAGATTATATACTTTGTTGTCCTTGTGGCAGTCGTAGTAGTGGTAGTCGTGGTAGTGGTAATGTTGTGGTGGTGTGGTAATGGAATGGTGGTGCGCTAGTGCGTTGGTAGTCTGTGGTAGCGGTGGAGTGGTAGCGGTATGGTGGTGTGTTCCTGGTCGATTGGTAGTGTGGTAGTGGTGGTGTCGTAGTGTGGCAGTGGTAGTGATACTGTAGTAGTGGAGAGCGCTGAGAGAGCACAGACATGAACGCACACCTATGAGAGCAAGTATATGAGAGCGGTCACACGAGAGCACGCGCGTAAGAGCACACAAAATTCGCACTTCAAGGTTCGCAAAGAGCTGCGCCTGCTACAAAAAAGGCGCTTTTAGGTTCACAAAATGTGGCGTTTGCCACAAAATCTGCACTTCGAGGTTCACAAAACGCTGTGCTGTCGCGCAATCTGCATATCAAGATTCACGTCGTGCAGCCCGGCCAAGGCGTTTCACAGCAAAAGCATGTCCAAAGACAACATCGCATGAGACCCCCCAAAATTTCTGAAAACGAGCCATGTGTCCAAAGGTCTCGATTCACTGCACCTGCCACGAAATCAGACGCCACAGACCACCGCCATGTCCAAGGTGCTGCGCCTTGCATATCGAAGTAAAACCATTCTCGCCTCCTTTGCCTACCACAACAAGTCGACTTTGGACCACCTAAACCTGAACACGAGGTTTGGCTATCCGGTTCTGTCATTGTTTGGGGACTCGGTTTCTCTGTATATTGTGCGCAGTGTCGCTGTTGACTTGTGTTTTACATCCAGCATGTGTTTTACCATGTTTTACCGGTTTTCTGCGTGTCCTTGCGTTTTTCTAGACTACAATGAGTAGGCCAGATGTGAAAGTACAGGCGCAATCTTGAGTGGCGTGAGCCTAAGTCCTGACAACCCGCTGATCTTGTAGAATGTAGACACCCGCCATGAAGTTTTGCAGGATGTCAATACATCATTTCCTGCGAGGAAGGCGCGCTGGGGCAGAACAAGACATGGTTGTGTTCAATCCTGCCACTAGCAGTCATTACACGCAGCCCTGAAGGCCTGTTCATCACAGAAGATACGCCTGCAAAGGTAAATCCGGAATTTAAGCAACTAGGCTTCAATGGAAGTTTAGGTTGGCAGGCTGCAGTACTCCGAACAACTCGCATCTCACGTAGCATACCAATCATTCACCTAACAATGTGCCACCTTGTAACAGATGGCTTCCCCAAGCCGGGTTGCGTGGGACACCGTGCGCTCACTGCGCCACATGTCACAACAAGACATCGCCCCGCCTAGTGGGAAGATCTCGCCCGCCAGCACATTTCATTCTTGTGCGCGTGAGGTCGCATGTCATGAACCTTTGACACGTCACCCCGGAAGGGCGGGGCTCGAGCGGAAAAGCAGTTCGGGCGCGGACGCACGGTGGACCTTGGAGGTCCGTGTTTTGGCCATTGGTTGGCCCCGTTGCCTTTCATGGTAGGCGGAGCTCCCTGGTGAGGAGCTGGGGCGCTTTGGTGGTGAGCTGGCGCCATGCCGGCGGAAGACGTCCCGATCTGGGACGGTGACCCGTCTTCCTTTGAAGCATTCGCTACATCGTGCAGGTGGTTTGAATGCTCCCTCAAGGAGACAGAGAGAAAGCTTGCGGCACCTCGGATTTGGCAGAGATTGCAGGGCGCTGCAAAATCGGTGGTTCGCCACCTTGACCCCAAGGATTTCTCCTCGGACACTGGCCTGGAGAAGCTCCTGCGGGTCCTCAGAGACTCACCACTGCAGAAGTTTCCAATCCCCGACAGCTTCTCGAGATTGGAGAAGTGGACAGGTCTGAAGCGAGCTCATGGCGAGGCGATCCCACAGCTGCTGGTGAGAGAGGAAGAGCTCTTCACGGAGCTCCAGCAGGCACTACAACGTGCACGCCATGAACGAGCTCGCCATGAGGTGAAGTCCATGGGTGTCGGAGCGAGCGAAAGGGACCCTCCTATGTCCCCTACAAGGTCACCCAATGTGACGAGAGCAGGATTGAGTTCGGTGAGAGAAGATGATTCCTTCGCGGCTGAGGATGAGAAGGTTGTCGAGACCTCCCAGGGCGAGAACGCTGGATTCTTTGAGCATGAGCTCAGGGGTTACAGGTTGTTGAAAGCAGCCAAGCTCACCCAGGCTGAACGTCAGCACGTCCTCACGCTGACGAAGAACTCGACCCACTTCACCCAGATCAGGCAAGCTCTACGATCGCTATTTTCTGATGGTGCTGATCAAGCTGACGATCCTGGAAGGCTGCCAAGACGCTCTGTCTGGTATGCGGCCGATGAAGGTGAGGATTGGGAGATGGAAGATCCAAGTTGGTGGAGCGAGGACATCTTCTGGAATGACTGGAGCCCGTCATGGAGTCCAACTTCATGGGACGATGGTGGTTCCTATGAGGACTACATCCAGGAGAATGACTACTACCCGGAGGAGCCGGAGGAGAAGACGAAGGAGGAGCTCGAGAATGAGCAGCGAGTTGAAGAAGCCTTTGCATTGGCCGCGGATGCCAACAAGACATTGGCCGAAGCAAGACAGGCTGTTGCTCGTGTTCGTGCTGCACGGGGTCATTTTGATCCTACAGGCACGAAAGGACATCCTGGGAGTCTTGGTGGCGGCAAAGGAAAGAGAAAAGGGCCAGCTCTTGGAAAGGGAGAAGGTGTTGGAGGTGGCTTCGGACCGTGCTTCATCTGCGGTCAGCCCGGTCACGGGTATCTGAAGTGCCCTGACCGCTGGTCCAAAGGCGGCAAGAAAGGTGCATCTCCATCTTCGTCGAGGAGCTCTTCATTTGGTGGGCGTGGAAAAGGCAAGGGCAAGGGAGGCTCTAAGGGCAAGAAAGGAAAGACCTTCTTCGCAGAAGCTGAATGGGTTCCTGAGATCTATGTCATGAGCCTCTTCGACCAGACTGATTTGAACCTCCTTGACAGTGGTGCGGAGATGACTCCATTGTTGCTTGGGGCCCGCGACATGCGGAAGCGCCGAGCGGTGATTTCCTACCATGGTGACTACATGGCGCATCGTGGTCACAATGGAGCATGGTTTGCCACTGAGCTGATCACTTCACCAGGAGGTCACCTGACCCTTTCTTTGGCAACCCGCCGTCTTCCTCTACGACTCCTACTGGAGCACCTGGATGGACCACCCTTCAACAACCCGGGTGGCTACGGCGGCAATGATGAGAATGATGGTGATGAAAATGACGATCAGCCTCGACCTCCAAACCATCCTCCACCTGCAACACCAGGCCCCCCTAGTTGGAGAACTTGTAAAGTGCCGTAACATATGTTATAACATGGGTTAACTGATGTTGTAAGCTGGTCTAAGATTGTGAAGTGTTCTAAGTTCTTGGTGGTATTTACGTTGCAGTTACAAATTACTTTCGATATATATAAGTAAGTTATCCTAGTTTATGTTGGAGGGTGCTAAATTAGTGCTAAATCACTTACAACTTACTTAGGGAACTTAGGTTTTTGCATTGAAAAAACTATGTTTTTTTGTGGACGGGCTTGCAGAGAAGCGTTTTTTAGTGTTTTTTGGTGTACTCTTCTTTTTTGTGTAGAACTGAGACTGATTAGCAAATCTTTGTATTTTGTGTTGTTGTGGAAACATTTTTTCCGTTTTTATGGGCGCGATTGTTTTTTTATGTTTTAGTCGTGAATAATTTGTGGGGTGGTGGTCCACCCGTACGACAGAGTAGTACTTTGCACACAGAAACACGTAAACATGCAACACGCACACGTAGTAGAATATAGTGTAACGAATCCATCATGTAGGCCATGGAACAACTAGAAGCCATTAAGCTGGATCGCGCCCCAAAATTGAGGAGTAGATCCTTGTCTGTCCGTGACGCATCGCAAGACGCACACACACACAGTCCCTCAAAAGATCTGATGTAACCTGATGAACAAGAGGCTAAATGTACAGTAGATGTACGGTAATGTATGGTAGATGTACATTACCGTACATTCCCGTACATCTACCGTACATTCCCGTACATCTACCGTACATTACCGTACATCTACCGTACATTACCGTACATCTACTGTACATATAGCCTCTTGTTCATCAGGGTGCACCGCGTTTTTGGGGCACCGGCCACAACTTTTTGGACGGACCACCGCCATCAAAATTTTTGGACGGACCACCGCCATCAACTTTTTTGGACGGACCACCTCCTTCAATTTTTTGGACGGACCACCGCCTTCAATTTTTTGGACGGACCACCGCCCAGCGTGTTCCTAACACACAGATGTAGGTCATTGTGTGTGTTCTGTTTTTCTCATGCGTTTTGATGGTTTAAAGTAGAAAGTGTTTTTCTTTTAGCGCGGTGGTTGTCCACCGAAGAAATTCGAAACACATATTTTGTTTTTTTTTTGGCTTTTTGCTTTTCTTCAGCAAAGCGGCGCGGTGAGTGTTCTACATTAAAAAACCCTTGCAACAGCAGCGCTTTCCCAGGTAAAGAGCATAGTTTTTCGATGTCCTTCGATTTGGGCCTTGCTACTCGGAAACCTGAAAAAACATAGTTTTTGAACATCAAAAACCACCAATTAGAACTTATAGAACTTAAAAATAGTTACATTTAAGTTACATCTTACTTACGAAGCCCTCCAGCTAACTTAGTTTTAAGTAATTTGTAACTTCACCAAGTAAGTTACAAGTGTTTTAACTAGGGGGGCCTCATGCTGTGGGCGAACTCCTCCCGAAGGTGGACGTTCTGGAGAAGTTCGGGATGACGGACCTCGCGATCCTGAAGGTGAAGATCGTGAAGCGAAGAGAAAGCGAGAAGATCCTACTGCCCGTTTGCTGAAGACTACGGTGAGATTGGGTTGATGGACATGCTGAGCGGCCTGCCTTAGAGCTAGATTCCAACTATTCTCCAACTTCGCCATCAGTGGTCGTTGAACCGATGGCTGAGCCCTCAACGGCTGTAAGAGCCTCAGAGGAGCGACCTTCTTCGGAGCTTCCTGCGCCCTGTGAATACATGTCGCCTTCTGCAGCTGTCTGTCGCTCATCGTGCGTTGAAGACATGGAGACTCATCCTCATCCAGAAGAGACACATCCACATGAGTCAAGCGCAGTCACGCAGCTGTCAACTGTTTCTCAACCAGATGAGTCACAACATGTAGAAGTTCATGAAGATTGCCAGTCAGCCATTCCACTGAACGGTATGATCATGATGGTGACGAAGAGTGGATTGTCTGAGTTTGACGACCACCTCAGCATCTTGGCTCAGCGGTTGCACGAGCATCGAGAAGCCTATCCATCCCACCTGGAGGATGAAGGCATGCCCATCTTGGATCTCTCGATGCGGTCTACGTCTTCGCTACGTGACCAAGGGCAAGGCGACTGGACAGACCAGGGCAATTGGCCCGCCACCAGATCAAGTGGAGCAAGCCCAAGAGGAAGTGCGGCCCGACTTCAAGCCATCAGAGATGACAGAGAAGATCTTCAACCGGAAGCTGATGGAAATCAGGGGTCGCATCCTGGTGCACAGAGGCGGACAGGGCCGGACCAATGTGCAAGTCCGGGCGGACGAGAAGTTGGGAGAAGCCTTGATGGCATCGACGGCTTGCGGAGAGACTCGAAAGACGAGCCCTACTCGAAAGAGCAAGGAGGACAGCGAGCCGGTGACTCCCAAGAAGGTCCGATCCCCGAGCAAGGAGAAGGAGAAGCCGCAGGACAACTCTGTGAAGAAGGAGATCCAGGACAAGGGCTATGCTGGGCGGCCAATGGCGTCGACGGCGACGCGGGGACCAATTGCCATGAGCGTGAACTCCGAGGACACGGTGGAGGAGATTCCGGACTCCGAGGCGGAGTCGAAGAAGGCGGAGTGAGTGGCATCTGGTCGAGCTTGCGGCGACTGAGGAGCAAGATGACGGAATCTGCCTGCAACAAGGCATCATGTCTATGTCAGCTGGAGGCCGACAAGGACATCAATCCTGCAACTTCCAATTTGAGCCCAACACGCAACTCCAACTATGAGGGTGGCAACCATCCATCTACACGCACGACGAGCGCTACGAAGTGTGGCATGAGCTCTACACGCCCTACCGCACGAATTTCTTCGATGCCGAGTTCCACGATTGAG